TTCGCTACGATGGACATCACCAACGATGTAAAGGTGCTCAAGAATTCGGGCATCACCTGCCAGAATCTTGTTGACATCCAGGGCCAATACAAGATCTGGGGCAGCAAAGAGCATGAGAAGGACTCACTGGTTCGCCTCGCCGAGGCCATCATCGACCCCTACTACAGAGACATGAAGGATTCGTGCAACAAGGACAAGCGTGCCTGGCACTCGGCCTGGATGAAGAAACTCGACAAAGCTCACGTCGTGTAGGCGACCAAGGAGGCGTACCTACGACATGTACAGGCGGATCGTTGACATGAGGAAGTGCCTCCTTCCCCAAAACGGCTAGGGATCCAACCGGAAGCAGAGCAATGGCAAGCGTCGTCGCAACAATAAGTAGATGATTAGATCCTCATTTCTCCTACTTTAGTATGCATGTAATTTCTTACTTTGGTGTGTGGAAATGTTGTGTGTAGTCATTTGTGTAATTGTATGCTTAATTTGGTTATGGAAGACTGTCTTTTTAAGTATATATGTTGATGCTCTGTAGACAGAGCGTAGATGTTGTGCGGACAAAGAAAATCGCATCGCACATAGACTAAACAATGGAACCCGTCGGTGATGTTTTCATCAATCACTCACAATTATATACCAGCAATCGTTTGCTCACAACATACACGGCTTGTTAGCAGTAATCGTTTGTGCTGTTGTCGGTCTTCGCACACGTTTCCGATTACAGACCTGTTTGCCTCGTATCACACACATCTTGTTCATTTGAACCGTTTCTGCTCTCATGTCTCAACACAAATATTTCATCCGAGTGAACCGCATGATGTATATCACACACACATTTGATCTGGCTGACTGTTTCTTTTGTGTTGCCTAATCACAAACAGTTCATCCGAGTGAACCGTATGATGTGCATCGCACACACCTTCATCTGGCTGCCCATTTATTTTGTTCCTCCTCATCGCAAACAGTCAATTGAGCTGAACCGTATGCCCTGCATCGCACACGCAACTAAAATCTGAACCGTATTTGATGCATCCTCCATCACAAATATTTTACACCTTTTTTGATGGTCTTTTTACACCACTGTTTGCGATTATGGCATCGCACACAGTTTTGTCGAAGGGTCTCTGATCGTAGTGTCGCGTTAGCAGCATCCTGCAGTAGTGAAGCCTCTTTGGAAATAAACATAACAGAGGGTGAGGTGTGGCTATAATCTAGCAATGACGGACCCACTAAAGAAGGACTGAAAGTTATGTGGAGGATTGAGGTGTGTGGCTATAACATATGAATATTTCCTCTCCCATTAATATACATTGGCTAGACGTAAGACTTCAGAGTGAAGCAAGGACGAGCTCTAGATGGCAGCGTAATGTATCAAATAAAAAATCTGGACCTGTGAAATCTTGAACCACGTGTGATACTTTTTTCGTTGTAACGCACGGGCCGTTTTGCTAGTAGTAAATAAAACATTTAAATAAAAACTTGTCTGTTATATATAAAATATTTAGTAAAACCTAAGTTATAAAGAAATTTGTATAGTTTAATGTTTGTGTGTTAAAAATATTGTACATAGGTTCTCAAAAAAAAAATATTGTACATACAGATGATGATTAGTAAATAAAAACTTTTAAATATAAACCTATGTATTATATAAAATTATTTAATAAATTATTTTATAAACCTGATATTATATAAACATGTGTGTTATATAAATGTGTGCATTACATATTTGGTTTTCAAAATTAAAATTCAAAAATATTATTTTAATCATACAAACATTTCAATACTTACAAAGTTATTTGTATAGTTAATGTTTGTATATAAAAATATTCATGATTTAGAATTTAAACTATTAATCTCGATATTCAATTGTAGTTAATATTTAAATTATTTATTTTTTTTGAATATAAGACATGAGTAAAAAGTATACACAAGTGAAACAAAATAAATATTTAGTAATTGTTTGTATTCATCATTCTGTAGAATTTAAAATATAAGCCACAGGTGTATAATTTTTGGATACATTAAAAATACTTATTTAATAAACATTTTCAATGTCCATATTAACTAAATATTTTTTATATAATACACAAGTTTATATTTATTTATTTTTATTTACTATTCATCGTTTGTATGTATAGTATTTATGACACAAAAATACTTGAACATAATTTCATTACTTATGTTTTACAAATATCTTTAATGTTTTTATTACTTACGTTTTACTAAATATATTTTAGATCATATATAGGATTAAATTTGCATGTTTTTATTTACTAGTCATCGTTTGTATGTTTAATGTTTTTAACGCACAAATATTTGAACACAACTTTATTCCTTACGTTCTACAAATGTCTGAGAAAAATAGCACACGCGAAATGGGCCGCAGTATCCACAGCCCACTTAATCTCAGCGCACTTAAGCTCCACATCTTGTTCAGTATATATAAGATCGTTATCCATATTCGAGCAGTTGGTCATGGGTTTGGGTCTTGGCGGACCATTTTTTGGTGTAATTTTTGCATATATGTGCACTACTATAGTCCGGTTTTCTGTCAATCAAAAAACGTGAGGGGGTTTTGTGCAAAAATGCGTCGCAGTAGTTTACTATTTTTCAAATAAAAATATGAGGGTGTTCCGTGTAAAAAAAAACTACATCGCGCCAAGCGCCATCACTCACTGACAGGTGGGGCCATAACATGGTTACACCCGCATACCGGCATACACATTTTGTGATCTTATTTGTACGCTTGAGTCAAGTTAAGTGACCACAAAACCGTATTTTCAAAGTTCTACCACCAAACTAAACATGCGATGCAAGTCTATGATTCCCGCTAATATCACCTCTTGAGGTGCCGGCTTTGTTCATTCTTTTCTTTTTCTTTTTGATTTTTTTATTTGTTTCCATTTTTCCGTGGTTTTCTTTGTGTAGTTTTCCTTGTATTTGTTTTTTATTTTCCCTTTTATATTTTGTCAACTTTAATTTTCGTGCATTTTTATATTATTTCTATTTTAAACGAATACTTTTAAAATTTTGTGAACATTTCTAAAATCCACATAAATATTTCATAAATTTGCATCAAAGTTTCCAACTAATTCATTAAATTTTCAAAAAAACAATAGTGTCGTCCATATCAGTAAACATTTTTCTGAAATTTGCAAATAAAAGTTTCATCAACATATGATTTTCTATTTTTAAACCGCTTTTATCAGAGTATTCAATTTTAAAAAAATAAAAACGAAACGTAATGATAGATAGTGCCGGCCCACTGGTGCTTTCTTTTCTAGGGGCGCCCACTGGTGCTGAGGGTGCGCGACTGGCCGGTGCGCGGAATAGGAGGTCTCAGTACAAGTTCAGCCCAGAATGAATCGAGTGACATGCGCCGACACATCTATAAATAGCCTGTGACGAGCCCAGGAGCCAGTTTTAGCTGGCCCACCGGCCTAAGAGGAGATACACAAACTTTCAAACTAGCCCTAAAAAGACTTTCAAACTGAGAGTATGCAAAGCATGCATACCTACCTGCCATAATGTGCATGGCAGTTCAAGTGGGGATGATCATGCATAGTCATCATCACCAATTCATCACTACTACTATTATTGTGTAGCTTGGGACCAAACCGAACTACCAGTAGTTAGCAACTAAGAAATGACAAAAGTGTAGTGGAGTATTTCCAAGTCATTCCAACACAAGAAAGAGGGTGACAACACACGGCACCAATCACGATCCATTCCACCTAGATTAATTAGCACACAAAAGCAATCACGAAGTTATTAAGGGGAGTAAGTTTTTTTTCAGGGGAATTAAGTAAATTCTTTTTTTTGCTAGACAGTGACCTAATTAAAAAAACAAGAATCAAAATGGACCCAACACAACCCATGCAAGTCGTCCATGTCCCCATGTGGTGGGTTCGGCCTTTGGGCCTACTCGATCATTATTCGCTGCCTGCTACTAATTCACATCAACATCATCCACCACAACAACAACGGATTTTTTTTTTTTTGCGGGGGAGAAATTTAACACTTATTGGTAACGAAATGTTGCCGTGTGCTTAATGAGATGTAATATATGCGCTTAATTAGCATAACATATAGTAATAGAATCCGGGCTGAATAACCAGCTTGATCACATAAGAGAATTGACGAGGAAGGAACAAGCGTAGGGTAGCTAGCACAATGCAGAGCTGGATGTCCCAACAACAATATCATCCAAGAAAGCACATTATATTCGCTCCAAGATGAGCTAGCCAGCCAGCCAGCGTATTATACACAAAAGGGCAGGCCAGCAACAACAGCATCGGACCACATATAACAAACATATAAATATATAATAGATGATGAAATGAATCAGTAGCAATATTGCATTGGCTAGGTCAAATCAAGAGACAAGCATAAAGACAATCATCTTCCTTTCTTTCATTCCTCCTAGGCCTGCATTGTATATAGTATATGTAGATTCTTCTCTCCCACACGGAGGAGTGAGTACAAATGGAGCTAGCAGTCACAATGTGCTAAATAATCAATTAACAATGTCGATCTTGTCTCACAACGGAAAAGAGGGTGCTAATGTGGGAACAATGAGCAATGTACTATGCGAATTTCGCAATCGACCGATCGATGTAGATATTACTGTTAATTAAGCGGTATTTTTTGTAGAAAAAGAATCCATCACAAAAATGCTTCTAGGACTAGCTGCTAGAGTCATGTACCTACCAAATGCTGGTATGGCCTATTGGTATGGTGAGATGGGAGGAGAGAGATGAGGGGGAGAGGTTGAGATGGACATGTCGCTTACTCCTTCCATTCCATTCCATGGTGGTTGGCTTCTCTTTCTGGTTGGGCGGTGCTATCTTTTCTCATTTCTTTTCTTTTTCTTCTTCTTTCCTTTCTTGATATGTGAGGAGTAGGGAGTTCTTCCTTTCTGCGTGCTCTTCCTTCCCATGGTATCTTTCCTGGCACTGCCGTTTCACCTTTTGATCATGGATGGATTGGATGGGCGGCATTGGTCACGAACCGAACGGCGCCCGGTGGGGTGTCCCCTTCCGCCGCCGACCCTGGGGCCGCGCGCCGTTCTTGCTGCCGCCGGCCTCGGCCTCGCTGCCGCTGCCGCCGCCGCCGTCGACGGTCGCCCCGTGCCCGTGCCCGTGCCCATGCGTCTTGGTGTCCACCAACTGCATGCGTGAGGGTGACACGGAGGAGAAACGGATTAAACGTGAACGAACCAATCGGACGAACGGCATTGGCATTGTGCTGTGCCGAAAAGAAAAGAATGATTGAAAGAAGGGAAATATATCATGCAATTTATCTTGAGCGGGCAGAGCAGAAAAGAAGGGTAGGTGTACCTTGCATCCGAGGGAGCAGAAGCGGAAGGGGTCGAGCAGCGCGCGGCCGCAGATCTCGCAGTTGTAGGGAGACGCGGCGGCCTTCCCCGCGGCGGCGCCGGCGCCGCGCGGCTGGGGCCGCTCGTTGAGGAAGAGGACCCTGGCGCTGTTGATGACGTAGGTCTGGACGCCGGCGATGTCGAGGACGTCCTCCACCTCCGTGACGCGCACCACGTCGTGGTAGGACGACCGCCGTATCTGCTTTCCGAGCCCAATGCCGGCCAAGAAACAGAGGAGAGGAGAGGAGGGATCATTCAAAACGCAACCTTTTTTCCTTTCCCAATCAATCAATCAACAAGACAAGACAAGAGAAGAGAAGAGAAGAGAAGAGAAGGAGTGGCATTGGCACCTGGATGACCCGGTGCGACGCGTGGCGGTGGGAGCGGCAGTAGTAGCAGAATGCGGCGGGCGTGGCGCGGCAGTCGATGCAGAACATGTTGCACTCGTTGCGCGGGGAGCCCGGGTGCGCCGCGCAGGCCAGGAAGAAGCGGGTGCCCAGGAGCGCCTCCAGCCAGCCGGGCACGCCGGACCCCGAGCTGTCATCCTCCGACGCGGGCGGCGCCACCCGCCGCATCATCATGCCCACGCCCACGACCAAGAGCGACCCGCCGCCGGGCAATGCCGCTGCGCTAACAAACAGGGGAGATGGGAGGAGAAGGGGGGAGAAAGAGAAGCAGGAGTAGCGTTTGGTGTTTGGTTTGGTGGCTTCGCTCCTTCCTTGTTCGTTTCCTTGGGCGGCGTGTTAATTGGCGTGCGTTGCCTTCTCCGCTCGCTCGCTCTCCGTTTCTCTCTCTTTCTTGGATGGATGGATGGTCACGTGCGGCGCGACTGCTTGATTGCTCCCTCTCCCCTCCCAGCACTAGTAGTACTAGTACCAGCACTGTAGAAGAAGTAGTGGTGCTATCTATATATGCAATGTCGGAGAGGAGGTGAAGCTGAGAGTGAAACTGGTCCGTCAGAAAGAGAAAAGCAGAAATTTCCACGAATATCACACTCACCGATGTGGATTCTTCTTCCCATCCTTCCTTGTAGCAGCAGCAGGTCATGGTCGAGGGAGGGCCGTGTGATCATGATTGGACACCGATCCCTATGCTATGCATCTTCTCCTCCTTCTCCTATGGTGCACACACACACACACACACACAGGTTTCGAGTGACAATCTGACAGAAGATGCAGTTGGTGTGGCATGGACCGCTTCGCTGCTAGGCAGGCCCGGGCCCAGGCTTACAAAGTTGCTTTGAGGTTGCCGTAAAGCGAGCTAGCAGTTCCATTCATTCCTTCATTCAGCTAAGCAAAAGCCAAGATGCATACAGTGATCAGGTTAAAAGGAAACGGAACGAGTGGCTATCTTTCAGGAGGATTTGTCGGGTTTCTCTCTTTCTTTCTTTCCAGTAATCACATTCCACATGCTGCTTTGCTCATCCTTGACGGAAGCCGATGCTTCCAAGCAAGCAGAACCAGCTTGCTCCGTTTGTCCATTCATGCCTGCCTTCCTTTCGCGCTAGCTGTCTCTTCAACAACTTGCATGCTCTAATAACAATTTTCTTTCCTTGATTTTTTTTCTCTTTTTCACTCTGTGCATCCACTAAGGCAGAGGCTGCGGGTTTCAACCTCCTTTTGGCCTCGTTTGATGGAAGAGATTTGAAGAGGATTGGAGGGGAAAATCCCCGCAGAGGCCAAAATCCCCAGAGAACCCCATCAGCCCATTTGATTCGCAGGGATTAAACGGGCCAAACCCCTCCAATCCCCGTCAATCCCTCCGGACCCACGCGGCTCAACAGCCTCGCGTAGCCCCTCGCGGAACGAGACCCCCACCGCCTCGCAGCTCCTTCACTGCCGCCGCTCATAGCAGCTTCTCCAACGCGAGACGGGAGGAAACGACACTACCCAATCCTCTGAAATATTTTGGTTGGAAGGGAATTGAGGATTCAAAGGGATTTTAGGGGATTGGGTGGAAGAGAGAGATTCACACAATCCTCTGAAATCCACGTCTCCTTTGGAGCTGAAGATCTCTCTGTACCAAACGAAGCCTTCAGGAAAAAAAATCCCCTCTCTTCCTTTAGGGTTAATTAGTGTGCACTTTGATTCAGGATGTTTAATCACAAAGGTTATTTTAGGAGGTGTGTATGAAAATATAGTGTCGTAATCGAGATCACGAATCACCCTAAGATATGAGTATCATTTTTGGACTAATTGAATTAACGCCGGCCACTACTAGCTACCTGCTGATGCTGCATCGATCGTCATAATGAATTCCACTCATGCATGCTGACTGTATCTGTATTTATATGTGCATAACAGAATACAACACAATAAGGACAGCATCAATATGTGACACCGGCCGCCCGACTGCTAAATATAAAGTGAAGCTGACCCATCACCACATCTTTTTTCTTTATAATTAACAATATGCACAGTCAGGCTGGGCAAATTCCATTCAAGAATTAGGCAATTACGCGATTAATTTCAGAATTAATCATGATTAAAACTATTTTTTTGAAACGAGGCAGAAGATTTGCCGTTTTGAGAGAAGTTTTACAGTTGAAGGCTGGAGGCCAGAATACAACACGTTACTCTCGCGGCATAATGTTACTCAAATATTTTGCTCCCGCAAAGCTCCAAAGTGAGCACTCCTCTTTGATCTTAGCGACCAACACTCTCACCGGAATTGTAGTGTTGCGGAAAACTCTAGCATTACGTTCCTTCCATATTTCCCATGAGATGAGCATCATCAATGAGACAAGAGGCCTTCTCGACGGAGTTTGCTTTGTGGCATTCCTACTCCACCAATTTTTAACTGAGTCCAGAACAACCCACTCGTTGGGCTGTACATCATGAAGTGCAAGCCAGGCTTTGATCATGCCCCAAACTCGAATGGTGTGCTGACATTGGAAAAAGAGGTGGGCCGCCGATTCCTGGACTTGTTAGCACAGCGGGCAGACATTGCAATTCGGCCACCCATGACTGTGGAGTCTGCCAGCCATCCAAATTCTATTGTTGATAACAAGCAAGCAAAAAAAATTACACTTTGGGGGCGCCCAGTTCTTCCACACATTTTGATTCATACCCGTGTCCACCAAGCCAAGGAAATGAGCCCTGTATGTCGGGGTTGCGGAGTAATCTCCATTAGTGGTGAGTTTCCAAGTGATGGAGTTTGGCCTGTCCGGGTTTAACTGGATGTGGGTGAGTCTTTCCCAAAGCGCAACAAACTGGACGATGTGCTCAGAGGAGATGCCCGAGGCAACATTCACCTGGGAGATCCAGTAGCCATTAAGAAATGCCTTATGAATGGAAGAATTCTTCATTTTGGAGATGTCGTAAATTTTGGGAGCAATATCTTTTGGCCTGATTGTTGGAAATATGCCCTAGAGGCAATAATAAACTGGTTATTATTATATTTCCTTGTTCAAAATAATCGTTTATTATCCAAGATATAATTGTATTGACCGGAAACTCAAATGCATGTGTGGATACATAGACAACAACATGTCCCTAGTAAGCCTCTATCGGACTAGCTCGTTGATCAAAGATGGCTATGGTTTCCTAGTCATAGACATGAGTTTTCATTTGATAGCAGGATCACATCATTAGGAGAATGTTGTGATGGACAAGATCCAAACTATGAACGTAGCATATGATCATGTCAAGTTTATTGCTATCGTTTTCTGCATGTCAAGTATATGTTCCTATGACCATGAGATCATGCAACTCACTGACACCGGATGAGTAACTTGTGTGTACCAAACATCGCAACGTAACTGGGTGACTATAAAGGTGCTCTACAGGTATCTCCGAGGGTGTCTATTGAGTTGGCATGGATCAAGACTGGGATTGTTCACTCCGTGTGACGGAGAGGTTTCTCAGGGCCCGCTCGATGATACAGTATCACAATGAGCTTGCAAGCAATGTGACTAATGAGTTAGCCACGTGATCTTGTATTACGGAACGAGTAAAGAGACTTGCCGGTAACGAGATTGAACTAGGTATGGAGATACTGACGATCAAATCTCGGGCAAGTAACATACCAATAGACAAAGGGAACTGCATACAGGATTAGCTGAATCCTTGATATCGAGGTTCGACCGATAAGATCTTCATAGAATATGTGGGAATCAATATGGACATCCAGGTCCCGATATTGGTTATTGACCATAGAGGTGTCTCGGTCATGTCTGCATAGTTCTCGAACCCGCAGGCTCTACACACTTAATGTTTGGTGACGATATAAGTACAATTGAGTTGTTATGGTGGTTACCGAAGGTTGTTCGGAGTCCCGGATGAGATCCTGGACATGACGAGGAACTCCAGAAGGGTCCGGAGGTGAAGATTGATATATTGGGCGAAGGGTATTGGAGTTCGGAAGTGTTCCGGGGGTACCGGGTGACGACCAGCATGACCGAAAGGGGTTTCGGGGGGCCCCACATGTGTTGGGGGGGCCTCATGGGCCAAGGGGAGGGGGCAAACCATCCCACTAAGGGGTTGTGTGTCCACCTCACCCTTTCCCACGTAACCAGGAGAGGTGGGGTGCCCCCTCTAGGGTTCCCTCCACCTGGCTTGGGGGGAAAGCCACCCTAGGGGGCGCCTCCATCTGCCTTGGCTACCGCCCCCCTAGATGGGATCTAGGGGCGCCATCCCTCCTCCCTTCCGCCTATATATAGAGGGGTAGAGGGAGGGCAGTCTATGCCACGACATTGTCCTCCCTCTCCCTTGTAGTCCTTCTTCTCCGTGAGGCTTGGCGAAGCCCTGCTGAGATTTCTCCACCACCACCACCACCATGCCGTCGTGCTGCCGAAGGACTCGAGCTACTACTTCACCATCTCTCGCTGGATCGAGGAGGTAAAGGCGTCATCAAGCCATACATTTGTTGAACGCGGAGGTGCCATCCGGTCGGCACTTGATCAGGAGTTCGTGAGACGAATCGTGATTGGATCGCGAAGACGTTCGACTACACCAACCACGTTTTTAACGCTTTCGCTTAGCGATCTACAAGGGTATGTAGATGCAATCTCTCCTCTCGTAGATTTTCATCTCCTAGATTGATCTTGGTGAGCATAGGAAAATTTTTGTTTCCCATGCAACGTTCCCCAACACTGATGCCATCTAGCCAAGCTGACTCATAGAAAGTGGCACGAAGACCATCGCCCACCTGAACCTTGGAGGCTGACGCGAAGATGTTCTGATCATTCTTGTCGCAAGGGGTGCCCAAGCCCGACCAAGGCTTGATCGGGTCCTGCTAGTCAAACCACAACCAACGGATACAAAGTGCGGCCGCAAACTTTTGAAGGTTTAGGATCCCAAGACCACCATGCAGCTTTGACTTGTGATGACCCACAAGTATAGCGGATCTATCATAGTCCTTTCGATAAGTAAGAGTGTCGAACCCAATGAGGAGCAGAAGGAAATGACAAGCGGTTTTCAGTAAGGTAATATCTGCAAGCACTGAAATTGTAGGTATCAAATAGTTTTGTGATAGGATAATTTGTAAGGGTAACAAGCAATGAAAGTAAATAAGGTGCAGCAAGGTGGCCCAATCCTTTTTGTAGCAAAGGACAAGCCTGGAAAATTCTTATAATGAGAAA